TCACAGCTCACCACCAAGCTTCCACCCCACTGTACCATTACAAACTTTACCTGCTCATAAGTTGCTTGTGAAATGCAGGTTGCAGTTTTGCTATCTATATTTGTAAATAACCTTATAGACTCTATCGATCTACCCAGGTCTCCATTCAAAGTTCCATGGTAAGTTGGCGGACTTCCCTTGTAAGCAGGGTTTTTCGTTCGTCGTGCGCGGCGCCGCTCGCCATGCTCACCACCGTGGCATATTTCGATTCTCTTATCACACACCCGTTCATAGCAACTGGTATAAGAGCCTCCACGAAGGTGTCAGTAGAGGCGTGCACACTTTGACGGAAACGAACCCACCCACACATGACCAGCTCTTCTCAGAAAATGGTATGTAACACAGTGAATTACGGATCACGATTGCGTGCTTCACAGCTGGGTGTTGCGTGCATTATTGGTGCCCCCTGGGCACTAACCAAGAAATCTGCGTTGCGGCAGCGCGGCCGAAGTGGACTTCGGTAATAAGGTTAGGCACCTGTAAGTGCGAGAAGCGGCGTGCGCATGACTCGGTCTTGGTGCATCGCTGCTACTCGTACGCACATCTAACTGAGGATACAAGCGACTCTAGAAAATGAGAACTACGAGAATACGGTGATTTACGAAATGAGCTACGCGGGACCGAAGAGCTAGCGGGGGGGGGGGCAAGAAGGAGAGGAAAGCAGTGCCCCTTCAACACTGCAGCTCCTCTGTCGAAATTCTCGCCCCGGATATCAATTCAGTAGATCCGTCAACCCTCTTCGAAGGCCAAAAACAGGGGCAGAGGGATATGGACTCTAGGATATGGAGTCTGATAGCGACCCAGCTCCATTCCTCCTACATTTACACGAACCCTCGCACCCATTGCCGCCACCCTGTCACTTCCCTTATCGCCCTAATATGGATTGGTTGTACCGCACACAGCAGGGGTTCTGTGTTTTCACGTGACTCGCTTGTTACCTCATGCTCTCTTCCGACTAAATTTGGGCCACGCCCGCTTTTATGCTGGCTATGGCTTGTTTTATTTGGAATGTTACTAAAAAGGGAGTGTTATCCTTATAGGATTCCAGGATCAGAGCTTCTGTAGCAATAAACAACCTGGTTATGTGAAAAGCGACAAGAACGTCTTCTAGTGGATGGCTCTCACTTGAGAGCACATTCTACGTTTATTTGGTGTGTAGAAGCCGTCCATGACTACGACAGTCCTGTCCGCAGCAATAAAGAATGTATCACTTTCGCGGCTCAAAAATATGTGATAAGGATGCCAGCTGCTTATAACAACGGCAATGCTCCGCCCACTACCCCACGCCGCATCAACTGTTCATACTTGAGAAATTTCCTGATGGTGAGATTGTTCCGCTTCCTACT